TTACACTGTCATAGAGCGGCTCCTCCAAGACGGTGACCAGCGTCACGTATCGGATCCAAGACACCAAGGGCCGAAAACAAATAGTCCATTACAATAGGCTAAAAAAATGCCATACCCTACCTCAGCGGGATCATGCTGTGAACTTGCGGGCCGCACCAGCGACGAATCAGCGTGACACCTCCAACCCGCCGTCACCAGCGGCGAATCAGCGTGACGCCTCCAACCCGCCGTCCCAGGGGACTGGTGTGACAACGAGAAGAGGTCGTCGGGTGCGACCACCGTCCCGATACGACGACTTTGTGGCTGTTAGGGACTGACACCGCCCTTCATCCAGCTCCACATGTATTCACCCCTTGATGGACAAGGGTCTTTGCAGGACATATTGCTGCGTTGCGGAGGTTCATGGGATTACCCGCAGACACATGACTGTGCAGGACATATTACTGCGTTGCGGACCCATGGGATTACCCGCAGACCAGTCCTTCTGCCGAACTTGACTATTAGTGGGCAGAACTGGACCAACCAGCCTGCAGAACTGAACAGTTCTATACAACTACATATATACCTAACGTTATATATTTTTCTTGTTGTTTCGTTATCCCATTATTGTTATTCGTCATTATATTCTGTAGTTAATTAGTCATTCCAACAATGTTACATAGTTGATATATTCACCACGTTATGTATCGTTAACTTCAGGAGAAGTTAAGTTCTTCTACATAGGGGGGAAGCGTGTAAGGATACAATATACACCCCCACAAACTATTGGACCAGTCCGGTCAGAGGTCACGGACTGCACATGTTCTGACAAGAATACAGTTCATATCCCAGCACTTCTCGCATCTTCATTCCTGGAGTGATTACTTATAAGTTCCAATATCTTCACCAACTGGACACTTATAATAGTTTCTTGTCTTGTTTGTATGTATGTAATCAGCACCTTCCTAACCAGTCCTGTATTTACTGTAGTTGCCTGAAAAGTGACATTAGTTCAAAACAAAAAAAATCCCAGACTGTAGTGCTTGCAATGTGCATTCCAACTATATGGTTTTTGTAAGTTCTTTTGTTTTTTGTTTTCCCAGCCTCCTACCAGCACAGCTGACCTTGAGGAGCTAAGGTCACAGTTGGAGCATCAGCTGGTCGACTTGAGGCAGAAACCTCAAGCTTCAGCAGAGGAGGTGAAGTTTATATGGAATTTCTGCAGTCATCCTTCATTTTGCTAACCTGGGTCTAACCATCCTGGTTAAGTTTAAGTCCGCCCCCACAGTCGCTCCCACCAACTGTGGCCGTACTCTAACCAGAATGGTACCCAGGCTATCATTTTGCCAACATCTACCTAACTTACATTTGTAGTTGTACCTAGCAAATATCATAAAGACCAAGACATGTAAACACTGGTCTCTTTTTCATGCCTTTCCAAATTTAAGATGAATTATATAGTATTACATTTTCTCTCTCCCACCCCCCACCCCCAGACCAGACAGGCAGTGGAGGCGTGGCAGGGGTATGAGATGCTGACGTCAGGGTTGGCTCGGGAGCTGTGTGAGCAGCTCAGACTCATCCTGGAGCCGTCACAGGCAACCAAACTCAAGTAAGTCTGCAATAAAACCATACCCCAAAACCCTTTTGTTGTGTCATTCTTTTACTCTCTCTCTCTCTCTGTTTTATCATCTGTTGTTTTCTGTAACTGAGGTTAGACGTGCTTGCACTCTGACCTGGGGCTTGATGGTAGCTCGCCATTTGACTCTGTCCTGTGGTTCTTGGGCACAGCAAATACCCCTGCAGGTTGGAGTATCAATAACTTCACTGGCCAGTCACACAGTGTCTCAACATTAAATGATGTCCATGATTTGTGTGCTCCTTTGGTATGTCACACTGCAGGAATGGTACAGGGCTGTTTGGGTGTATCACTGTTACTCCCTGTTACAGTTCTTGGGCTTCTGGCATGCCTTTGGGCTCCTCAGCAGCCTGTGCAAGTCGTTTGTCAATCATTAACTTGATTGTTTATTTATATCTTTATTTATACTAGTACCTGAAAAACTTTTCTTTCCACCCAGGGGAGACTACAGGACAGGAAAGCGGCTGAACATGCGGAAGGTCATCCCGTACATCGCCAGTCAGTTCCGCAAGGACAAGATCTGGTTACGCCGGACCAAACCCAGCAAGAGGCAATACCAGATCATGTTAGCTGTGGATGACTCTCTCAGCATGGCAGACAATCACTCCCAACAGGTCAGGGTCATTCATGTCAAGGTCACAGTGCTAGAGGTCATACATACAGTACAGTTAACCATTTTCCCAAAGCAATCTTATTATATATTTTCTACTTGTGGATTACTCACTAAGCATGGCGGCTAACCACTCCTAACAGGTCACAGTGTCCTTCGTGTCAAGGTCACAATACTGAAGATCATATTACGTATTACTATAGTGATGCCTATCGTCAAAAAAGATAATTTTAATGTAAAGAACTTCTGCCATCTAGTGTTATCAGGACAGTGGATGATCTGAAGTGTTTATTTTAAATCTTTATTTCCAGCTGGCATTTGAGTCCCTTGCGGTGATGAGCAATGCTCTGACTTGGCTGGAGGCAGGAGAGTTGGGTGTCTGCAGGTAAGGAGGACCTCAAATATTGTCTGCCTTCCTCATGAACCAAAATTTCTCTTTATTCCTTCTGTATGTGATGTACCACTGTCCGTCTTTTTAACGAGAAACTATTTTTCCCAGCTTTGGGGAGCAGGTTCAGCTGCTGCATCCGTTTGAGGAGCAGTTCTCGTCCCAGTCCGGGGCTCGCATCCTGCAGCGCTTCACCTTCCAGCAGAACAAGACTCAGATAGCACAGGTAAGTACTCCTCTCAATTCTTACTCATTCTGTCATCATATCCTTGTTCACCCCTCCATCTCCTGAATTCAGTAGAAGACACAAACAGCACAGGTAAAAATTTGTCTGTTCTCACTCATCAAATCCTTCCCTCCCTCTCATAGGAAATTCAAACTCTACTACTGGATAAATTACGGAGATAATTTCCAAATGTATCAAGTGACATCCACCACTCTTCTTCAGCATCACTAATGAACTAACAGAACGTGTTGCACACGAGTAACTGGAAAACCGATTAAACATGACAAAAACTCATATAGTCATTGGTGCTCTAATGTAGAACAGGAAATAAACTAAAATGGATATCAGTTGAAATTAGATCAAGCCCTAACTCAGTACTTGTTGTTCCCAGCTGCTTGAGAGCATGACGGCCATCATGACGTCGGCACGGAGACGGCTCCACTCTGTGACCGCGCCGGAGACGGCCCAGCTGCTGCTGGTGGTGTCCGACGGGCGCGGCCTGTTCCTGGAGGGGTCAGATAAGGTCAAGGCCGCGGTGCGCGCTGCCAGGGAGGCCAACATCTTCCTGGTGTTTGTGGTCATCGATAACCCAGATAACAAGGTCAGTTGTTGACTGTTTGCTCTTTTTTTTTCTCGTATTTTTACATGTAATTACAGATCTTGTGTGTGTTTTGATACAGGATATAAATGATAATTAATGTAGAAGTACATGGTTAGCTTTAGTTTAGCTTAAATGTTAAGCTGACCTCTCAAAAGTTTTCTTATCTGCTTACAGGACTCCATTCTTGACATCAAAGTGCCAATCTTTAAGGGACCAGGAGAGGTGAGTCTGCAGATTTCCTTATCATCTTTGTCTTAGTTTGTGAGCATCATGTCACCTTTACAGAAATATTCAATTAAGGATGGTAGTGTTCTTGCCTTCTGTAATGTGATTTGCTTCCCTATCAACTCTGTCACTATATGTAGGCATCCATTTATGTAATTATAAGCTTGAGCTTTTGGCTTCCATCATACAGTTACATATTTTTTTGCATCTTATAAATTGTTTGTGCAAATATTAAAAAAATTTTTTTCTCTTTCTGCAGATGCCAGAGATCCGGCCATACATGGATTACTTCCCCTTCCCGTACTACCTGATCCTGAGGGACATCAACGCGCTGCCCCCCACCCTCAGCGACGCCCTCAGGCAGTGGTTCGAACTGGTCACAGCAGGGGACTTGTAGGGGCATCTTACAGGAATGAATGAGCCTAAAATGAGTGAATGAAGAGTAAAAATTATGTAGCAATGAACATACTAGTTATAAAAGTACTGCTCCAAACTTTTGTCCAGTCAGATATAGATGTAATTATAAAGTATAAGATTACATTCAATATGTATCAGGATAAAAGATTACATATTAGGAGAATCATTAGCACTCTATATCTAGTATGTAAATACCAAATTTAAGTTATTATTGTAACAATAGCTTCTGTATCTGTATAGCCGGTATAACCGCCTTTCGGCGTAACACACCAGCTTAATGGTACATCACATGTGGAGATGTAAATGTTTTAATGATTTTTATTTTTGTTGTCAGTATATTTGTTCAATGTTTATGGTCACATTTCAAGGAAACTAAACCCTGTCAGCTTACTATAGTGCCTGTAAAATTTCTGCATTTTAATGGCAATACAAAGAAAATAATCTGATGTTTTTTCATGTGAGATTTTTGTCTTATCATTATCTTGGCTTGCAGTAAAAAAGCCAGTTGTATCCTCCACGGCCAGCCAAACCAAATCCAGTTTTCCTCATCTTCCATGTGTTGTCACATGACCTTGTCTTTCAACCTTCTTTCTTCAAACAATTATAAGAATCTGTTCCTAACTATAAGTAACCCGTAAGACACACAGATACAGAAAAGGTTCAATACAATCATTTTAATCCATGTTATGTACAATAAGAATGATACAACGCATGTACACTGACAGTAACAGGTTCCATAAAAACTTGACTGCATTCAAAAGCAAGAAATCACTCTATGATATGGTAAGTTAAAATACACAAATGCACAAAAGTCCACCACATCAGAAGAAAAACTGCAATCAAAGATTACTTGTTTTGATATGCCAGAAAACTGCAAGTACAAACTGTTGGACAGTTGATCAGGATTGACTATAACTAGACCAAAAGTAGTGGTAAAGGTTAATAACAGGCATGATCCTTAACTGATAAAAGTTACGGTAACTACTAAAAGGAGTATTAAAAAGTAACTGCACATACATTGTAAAGAACAGTCATCTAGAGCCCACTGTCTGTGAAGTTGTCCTTGCTGTACATATTACCATTGTGCCTGCTCCTTAAACATTGTAAGGCCACGTTTGAAATTATCTATAGGACTCCTATTGTAACAGCACACATGTACATATATGATACACATTCTTGACAACATTATAGACATTTATGTCCAAAAATGCTAAAATCTTAAGGAATTTTCTCTAATTTACCTATTAGGTTCCGTATCAGTATTTCCTGTATCACTATTAAAGCTCTATAAGATTTTTGGAACAGTAATGTCAACTAGAACTGCAAATTCTGTTGCAGTTGTTCAGAACTCCTGCAATGCTTGACAAGAATACCTTTGTCAATGATTCTTGGATATGGCTCAATGTTGGAACGTTTACCTGGACAGTTAGTCCGGTATACGAATACTACGGTGTTAAGGACAGTTGGACATCCTCAGCATAGTCAAACCCACCCACGCTGGCCTGAGACACTGTTCTGTCCTCTGTTAAGTCATCAAACTGGACAATAAGAAAAAGAAATGCGAAGTTCAGTAGATATTCTAAAAAAAAAACAAAGTAGTTAACTTTTGCTTCAAAACTTTGGCTCAGTGCAAAAGCCCAAAGTTTTCAGAAAGATCCTATAGAAAGTGCTATGAGTATGTTTTATACTAGTAGTACATATATGGCAACCAACCAACAAGTAACCAAAGCTTAAATCATGGCTTACTATTACCAATGTTAATTGTTGGCCAAGTACATGTTGCTGACAATGAACCAAGCTACAATACTGCAAGCTAACAAAACAACAAACCCTGTGGTAAAATTGTCCATGACTAGATGAAGTCAACCCACCTTCTCCTGACTATCGTTGAGTAAGTCATCTGCCTCTATGGAAATTTCTTCCTCTATCTCCTCACTCACTGAATGGGCCCCGCTCTGGCTCTGACTTTGGCTGAGGAAGACAAAATTTTCCATGATTTCTATCTTTTCAAACTACATTACAAGACATCAACTCTGCATTGTAAGCATAATGTCCACATCATGTGCAAGTCACAGAGAAATATTATCTTTAATTTAATATGTAAACACTAGTTTCTCACCTTGCAAAGTCATCTTCATAGTCATCATCATCATTTGGCACTTCTGTGAACAAAACAAAGGATCACCATTACTATAGCATCAGATTTATGTAGTACTGATCTTGAACTACATGTACATAAAGGGGATGAATAGCTGAAGAATTTTTAATCTTAACTGCAAAATATAAATCTAGAAATACTTGTGATTTCAATTGGTAGCTTAAGCTGCATGTAGCTTTTGTTTTTTCTTCCAACTCAACACCAGGTTACAGTATTTATAAAAGAATTTATGCCCAACAGTGGGGTTAGTCTTTCATTGAAATACATGTACTAGTATATACATTGTACTACTAGTAGCTATTAAAAACCTAATGCCAAGTACACTAAAGAACAGAAATCACCAATCTATACATGAAAGACCAACAGAAGAATGTTACTGTAAGAACGAAGATGGAACAGCAAAAAGGACAACTCCAGCAAACACTGAAAACTCAAGAAGTCTTCACAAGAGAGAAGAAATGATGTTAGTACCAAATCCTAAATCCTTGATCTTGTTGTCTATGGCTTCCAGGTCTCTCCAGTCCGGGGATCTGTTCCCCCCCTCTGTGTAGGAAATAATGGTACAGTCGGAAAGGGAAGAGAAATGGTAACATGGCAATGCTGTTGTGGAATGAATACAAAGCACAGACAGAGAACAGGCACAAAACTTTTGTGATTTGCACATTTCCTGATTACAGTTGTGCATACAGTAGATGAAACCTGTTAATTGACACCAGAGAGCTTACAAGTGCAATGACAAAACTGAAGGTATCTCTGCATGAACTGCTTCTGTCTCAAACAGTATCGGGGCTGTAGAATTTTTTTCTCGTTTGTTTTTTGTTTTAGTCTTTGTTTATTTGTGAAACTTTTTATTAAGGGAAGGGTTACATAATTGAAATCCTACCAAATCCATAAACACAATTGTAATAAATCCATGGATAAATTTTATGTTTTACCTTTTAGACTTGACAAAGGGGAGGTTGTTAGCGAGCCCTTCCCAGTTCCAGCCAATGAGGGGGCTCCACTTAATGAAGACAGGCCACTGCTTGCCGCTCCGCCTGTCGGCTTCTTGTCAGATTTAGCAGCAGAGGAGAAGCCAGAGTCCTTGTCTTTGTTGTCGCTGAGGAAAGGTTTCCATTTCATTTGATTTATTTGTGCGACTGTGTGAAGACATACAGCCAGGGCCACCCAACTAGCCAGAGGCTATTAAAAAGGGATAAACCTCGCGATTGAAGAGGTTAGAAGGCAATATTTGCAAAATACAATGTACCTATCATCGATATGCAAGGAAGTGATTTTTGCTGCAGTACAATCACAGGTTGATAGGTGGCGCTGTTATGGAGAGGTCAAACATGGCTAAAACATAAAGGCTGGGGCCCAAAAAAGGGGATGCAATGGACTAAAACTTGTTTTGTACTACTGGTTCTATGGTCAAACCATTCTTTGATGTATTTGCCTACTTAGCAACCAATAGTCTAGAAATGGTCTTCATACATGTTGTACACCTTCATGGTAAGTTTCATTATTTAAAAAAATGTACATTTCATTTCATATGGTAACGGTGCAATAATTATTGGCCAGTTACGTTAAAAACTTCAGCCAAGCCAGATCAGAAACTAGACAATTTAAGATGGTCTCACCTTGAAAACTTGAACTTGTTCTCAGATGGGACAGGCTTGTCAAAGAAATCATCATCCAGGTCAAAATCGTCCCCTCTGAAGTCAGTGGACCGTCCCGAGGCCTGTTTCACTTCCTGGTTCTTCCTGTTCTTAGCCTCCACTGCATTTTTGTCAACCTGGTAGAGAATTTGAAAGAAAAAGCATGGTTTCTAAGATTAAAATGAAGAGATCTGCTTGCTTCAGAGACATATACTCCTTCAGCTATCAGTGTACCTTATTTGGTCATTCGTTACACCATGCAGAATCTAACAAAAGGTGTAAAATCCCTTTTACTCTAGCGTCCTTTGAAAAAGCTACTTTATTAGTACGGTTCAATATGTAGTATCTTTTCCTCTCTTCTATACCTTTAGGCCTTCTGTGTCTCCAGAAAATGGTCCATTCAAACACTAGCACAGTACAGCTGACTGAGGCACCCATGTGGACATAACAGGGCTATAACGCATACAACAGCAGCCACTCCAAACAATGGTACATCACCACAGCCGTCACATAGATCAGCCCGCTGTACATCAGGATAAAGGAGGTAGCAGTGGAGGGGTACAGGAGCTTCAGGGCAAGGCCCAGAGCAAGAACTGCCATAAGGGCCACCCTGAGGACCAGAATCATGGCTGCTCTGTCTTGGAATGTCTCCAGGATGTCTTGGGGTAAAAAAAGGGTCAGGTTGGACCATACCAAGTGGGGTGTAGCATGGGGGAGGTGGCTTGGAATATGAATTTTACCATGTTTATATGCCCGTAAACCAGAGGGTACCTTACATACATGTGCATGGCAAAAATACAGAAGATTGGGCCACATCAAATCCATTCATTGGTTGCTGATTTTCAAAATTTAAACCTGGTGGTAGATGACTGACTTATAAAATAGTAAAGAGTCTGACTAAAATTATTTAAATTCAAGGTTTCCTTTCTAAACCTGTAAAAAAAAATCATAAATTACATGTAGGTTTTCTCCTGTTGCATAATAAATACCTAAGTGCACAACATGCAGAAATGTGCATGGAACATTCATACGGCCCCCCTCCCATTTCCATTACACTCCCTCCCTTCCTTCCAAACTACTTGTAAATCCCAACATGAACTTCTACAAACCAACTTCAGCAAATATTTGACCTTAATCCTGTAGTGCCTGCTAAAACCATTACAAAATCTCACAAACTCTAATGGGATCTAACGTATGATCCCCTTCAATCAATATAAAGCTGCCAATCAATAAATTCTATTGATTTTCACAAGTCTGTATCAGGGTGACCTATTTCTTTCTATTTATAGATAGCTGTTACTAGTGTTAGTGTTCAGTCAATTCTTAAAATCAATACTAGTAAACTGTTGACACATTATGGAATTTGCCATGCAGAACTGGACATAAACTGACTAAAGCAAATAGGTTTATTGAAGTATCATGATGATTGTTTTTTCTAAAAACTCTGATGATTAAGCTATCTTTCTGGCTTTGCAATATTCAAAATCACAGGAGGTGGATTTGATACACACGTGTCATGAATTGACTGACAGCTGTCAGAAGAAATGGTTTGACGATGTGAGGGAGGACTTCCACCACTTGAACCTACATAACGTCAACCCACAGGATAGAGGCAAGAGCTGGGCTGCCATCAAGCGGCCTCAGTATTGCTATGCAAGCACGTCTAACCCTTGGAAATTGGGGAACAAAAGACTATAAACCAGATAGTGAGCGATTGAGTGAGTGAGCGATTGAGTGTGTCAGCTGTACCTTAGTGAAGCTGCTCTTATTATCAGGTGATGAGACCCTGGGAGAGGATAGGGTGATGTCAGACACATCCGAGGCTACCTGCAATGGGACAGGAGCAATGCACACAAACATGAACGTCTCAGAAATGGGACTACTTTTGATAGTATAGATAGTATATTGTGTATGGACTTCAGCAGAACTGTGAGAGAATAGTTATACATTGTATGTATATTAGATTCCATGTGGTGGTTGAGTATGGTAAATGTAAGACATGTCCATATATATATATATGCTAGAATGACTTAAGACTTTAGCAACACTCAAATCTCTAAAAAAAATGGACATTCATAAAAACAAGCTACTATATTTTGTGTTACGTTTTTGAAAACATGTGGCCAAAGAGTTGGTACAGTAAAGTGTGGTTGACATTTGCAATATATTTGCGGTAATGTAAAGAAAACAGACTGAGTATAAAACTTACCACACTCCTGCACAGGACAAATAATCTCTTGTACATCCCCAGAAACTCATCAAAGTCTATAGCTGTGGAGACAAAACAAAATGGACAAGAATAAGGACAAACACAACAATCTACAACATAGATTAATAAGTCACAATCAAGTAAAGGTCTTGTCTAATCCTTCATAAAGGAAAAATACGGAGACACTATCATCTCACTCACTGTTGCTGAAGTCTTTGTCCTGTGCTCTGAACTCATCATTGACATATCTGTCCAACATGTTTCTGCAAAGATGGGACAACATTAGCTTCAGACCTCTTAAAATGTACTCTGTGGCATTCCTTACTTAGAAAGGTTATTACTTTGGCATGAAGTGAAAGCCAACTATCCACAGTACATGTACTTGCTTGTTAAATAGACATCAACACAAGCTTTGCTGGAATAACAGTTACCAACCTGTTGAAGTGAGGAAACATGTCCAGGAACAGTTGTCTCATCTCATCTTTGTCTATGTACCCGTTCTTGTCCTATTTTTATCAAACAAAGAGACATTTAATACAAACCATCAGGTCTTAGATTATAGGAAAACAATGCTGTAGCAAAGAGATCCTACTAGTTTATATAATCTTACAGAGTCTGTCACAACATGATAGACTAAATAGCTTACCGCATCATATTTGTTGAACTTCTTCTTGGCATCCTCAACCTGCTTTGCTGTCAGGTCCTGATAAATAAAACAAAATCAAACCACAGTCATGTATATGTTGCTACTCGAACAGTATGACCTTGAGAATTTTTTTTATTTGGTGAGAATACAATAGTCAATGTTACAACAATGACAAAGAAGTTTACTGAAGATTTTGCAAACTTAAAAGCAATTGCAGTTGTTTTTTTTTTAAAGTTGCTACATACAATGACAAAAGAACATTTAAGTCAAATGCATAGAAAGGAACATGTAACTCTTCCACCACTATCACCGCTATATATTGCAGTATGTTAGATATTGGAAATGTGTGTTTTAAGTTAGAAAGCTACATGCATAGATGTCTGAGGTTGTGTTATTAGTCTAGAGGAGAATACATGTGTACAAGTATAAAGGCAAGAGTGAGCAGAAAAAAGGTGATGTGTTGTAACCGATACCTTAGGAACCATGTAGCGAACATCTCCCGTCTTGTGATTGGTGGAGAGGGATAGCGGTGACCCCGTGATCATCACAGGTGACAGGAAAGGTCATAAATTGTGAACACCCAAGATGTGAGAGGGAAAGACTTATAAAGTTATATCTTAAGATTTAGCAACTTTCTTGAAAAAAAAGGTGCCAAATCTCAAAATAAAGTGCTTCATTTATTCATGTATCTAATATCAAACTTTATGAGCATCTGAATTTCATATGTGCATGTTAAATCATATAAACATTCAAATACTAATATGACATTTGATATAAGATTGTTACTAGTAATTTAGTGGACAAGATATACATAGGGGTTGACAAGATCACCAGTAGTATAGGATATGTAGAAATGTGTTATGCAAAAAAATGGTGTCACTTGTAAAATTTACATTTTTTATAATGTAAAAAAAAGAAAATACTAAATCATGTGGGCCTATTTTACAGCAGAGAAAACGCACCTCTGGACTTGCTAATGATCGACCCTTGGCCCCACTACTGCTCATGCGCTTCACCACTTCGGTCAGTAGGGGGAGCCGCGAGGAATCGTCAGACTCCAGAATGTTGAGCTCTCTTGCAAGGGCATCGCGTCCTTCATACTTCTCTCCCTGGTAAAATTTTAGAAATGAGAAAAAGATATTAGCATCTCAAGTTTGACAGACTGGTTGTTTAATGTTGAGAAGCTCAACATTCAGCAACCAGTCTGTCGTACTTTCATGCAGACACCTTATAATGTATGGATGCATGCCATTGTAACATGCTGCAGAAAAAATGACAGATCCAAAACCAGTGGCAAAAGATACCCAAAATACCCCAAAACCAGACATGGCCAAAGCAAGATGAGTGGCAAACCAGATACTAGTACACAATGACATATAGTATATCCAACAATGTAATAGTGTTGCAAATCACACAAAATAACTTCACACAGTACAGAAATTACCACCTTAAACTATTCACCACAGTGACTGTCTGCAGAACTATCAGTGTTAGCAGTGGTATCCAGTCTGTTCTAGCTCCAGCATGCTCTTCTGATTGCTTCCCTGCCAAATATTCTGCTACCTATCCCCATTTAAACATATGGCCTTTTTGTCATTAATTATTCTGGATATAGGAAGTTCTGTAAAAGCAATGTAATTGGGATTTAACTTCAGAATGACTGTGCCAAAGCCAAATTCAACCCATTTGAATTACAACATTTTACTTTTTTAGGTGAATGTTCAAATGCTAGTCGTTTCTCTGTTAACAGGTGCCAGACTAAATCCTGACAGGAAAGTAATCAGAGGAGCAGACCAGCGCTAGAATAGGATCTGGATACTCTGCGTTCTACAATCTCTGACCATCCATAGCACAAGCATATGCATGATACCCTGCAGTCCACCATTCCCTAGTCTGGTTACCAAACCTATTATTTCCGAAGAGGATGTAGGACTCGGGACCTACGATAGGTTTGGTAACCAGTCCACCATTCCCACCATGCCAACACACGGACCTACATCACACCACGTTACACTATTCACCTGGACACAACTGTCCTGTGTTCCGCACACACATGGAAGAGAAATGTCACGACATGAGTGAGTGCAAGCTGCTACAAATGTGACAACTGCATCAGTGAATACCACTGTATCTTGTGAATGTCATCCTATGATATATACTACTCAGCAATAGAATAATGCAGAGAGCAAAACTACCAAAAATGTGGTGGTGATTCTGTGGTGAAGGCAAAAGAGCTGTTTGATAATATGTATAGAATAGGAAATAGGAGACTCAAGACAATCATCCATCATTGGCTGGTATTGCCTTCCTACCTAAAATAAATTTTAATTACTAGTACAACTGTACATGTATTGGCTATTTGCAATTCATTATTTCCAGGGTAACTAGCACTGTACAAACAGTTTCAGATAAGAAAACAAGAAATGCTTTGAAAATTGCAGTTCATCGCATATACCGGGTACTGTAACTGTGTTATTCTGTAATTTCATTATTCGACACAGGAAAACCCAGCGCAACTTTTTGAAACAATAAGTCCAGTACAGAAGGACATGGTCTTACAAAGTTGGTCTCCGGGTCGAAGACTGCCAGTGAGTAGTCCAGGTTGAAGTGGATGAGGAACTCTCGAACCAGCGCTGCCACCATACGACCTGGGGAAAGGGCAACGTTATACATGTATAGTCTATAGCTAGAAGTCAGTCTCAACAGCAAAGCCAAAGAAATAGTTCAGACAATGATGACACAAGTCAGAAGATCATTATATGATTCTAAGTCGAGCCTGAAGAATGGACAATGTTCAACACTCTGGATGTCAGTTATTACTTAGCGAAGAAATACTACAACCAGGTAGGTATGTACCCAGAGTCACAGTAGTGAGTAACACAGACTGTAACACTTGTGGAAACACATTCTCACTCTAGCTCTGTATTATCAAATCTTTACGTATACTTAGCTACTGTACAAACCTTCCTTGGTGTTGAGAAACTTCTTCAGGTCTTGGTTGACCAACTGAGACTTGCTCTGTAGAGACATTAAAATAACATCATTACATTTTGGGCCTATTTTGACAGACACAGTTACTTTCATACCAACATGTTGGGTAACTAATTAATAAGATAAGAAATTCAGTAGCTTTGCAATAAAACTTGTCACAAATGTGAAATATTGTTGAGCAATAAACATTACATACTGTAGGTATGACATATACTTGTATAATATATACAGATACAATTTATTACAGATACCTGTTAGCAGATAAATCATGGGTAATAAAATCTAAAAATACACCAACCTCTAAGGCCCCCTGTTCTTCTAAGGCAAGGAAGACACTTGCTCTCAGCTGTGCCTAGGAACAACATAAAGCACTTTCTTATTGCAATGCGATATTGGATACATGTCGCTTAATCAATATTGACCAATATGTAGGTCAATGACCTCTTAATTCCTTTATTCTGGCCATCAATAGGAGTTTGGTTGACAATGGAGACTGAATTTGAAGTGAAAATTCGTTTCAAATGCATTTCAGTCATACCACAAAAGCTATGATCACGACTCTTCTTTTCATTCGCATTTTGAAAACGCAATATTGGCAATTATGTAACGTTAGTCAAACTACATGTTTATGTTGACAAATTTGATCTAGCTTGACAACTCTAATACCTAACAGTCTTGTGTGGAGCCTGGAATAAACAAAAATGTCTTCCATGGTTTTCTGATTTTCATAACCTTCGGTTCAACTTCAAGTTCATGTTTTGCTGCCTCTTGTTGACGTTTGACGTCACCGAAACCAGTCTCTAAAATATTTATGGCAATCAATCAACTGACTACAAGGTCGCAGGACGGAATTGTACGCACCAAACTAAACATAAACCCCACATAAGGCTGGGTGATAAAGAAATCTGCAAAATGTAATGTATGTGAAAACATAATTACATGTAACGTTAGCAACAGACGGAAACAATTAGCAGGTGTTCTTGGAGACTTCCGTCACAGAGTCGCAGCAAAATCCCGTTTTCTCAGCCATTCTCGCCATTTATACCCCATATAGCCAATTTCTAGGAACACTAACTTCCCTCAGCTGTGAAAGATATTGTTCTCTTACCCTGATTTTGCCCAGAACACCGTTGGTTTCCAAAGTTTGAGCGACAAGGTCGCGCAGTTCAGTGTCTTCGTCCGCCGACATCTTGAATTTTGTTGAAATATGGAGTCTGACTCTCACGGAATCTCGTGCTTTCTCATTTGGTGTTCGTTGGCCCGCTCAGCCAATCACCGTTCGCATTTTAGATTTAATCGGGCAAATCGGCCAATCAGAGCGCAGCATCTAAATTAGCGTCTAGTTTGAACTTGTCGATTTCCAAAATGGCTGCTGTGGAGGACGCGTTGATCAAGAAGTTGGAAGATCTTGGAGAAAAGAGAGCCAGAGGGAAGAAGTTGCACGAATGGACGAAGAAGGAGGCGGCGGAGGTGTTATGTCACCTGTTTTCGCTGTACGATTCGAGCTGGACGTGGGACGTCCGCTCCCAAAGTGATGTGAAGAACGGGAAGACGATCGCGAGGTGAGCTTGTTTTTTTAGCGTAGCGTGGGGTCACAAGTGTTAAATTAATTATACCTAGAGAGATCATTGACTCTGAACTGAACCAAGTGAGAAACTGAGCACCTAGAGACCACGTCTAGCGACATAATAGACGTTAAACAAGGACAACAACAACAACAACAACAAGTTTTGCATGAGCTTTTGTTGTTGTGCAGAAGAAGTGAAGACAGTATACCCATTTCTATTTCAGACAAATCTAGTTCAACAACAAATAGATATGTTTGTACATAAGCTGATGATTTATGATTTGATGGTGTATCAGTTTTCTATAAAATCGTTACCCCATAATTTCTTAGCTTTGGTGGCACTTGAAGTTTGTTTTCTTTACAATCTCATGCTGTTTTTGTATATCAATCATAATTCATCTTCAAGGGTTAATTATGTAGGATGCAAGTTATACTTATTTTTTGTGTTATAATATATAACATGCTTCTTAACACAATATGATAGAAACTTGATCACAAATCATAGAAGTAACAAAAAAGTATACTAATACATGTAGATTACCTAGTACCTGTTCAACCTCTCCAACCCCGGGCCCCCCATTAATTTCATTTTTAATGGTCCATGCTGCACAGGTACCTCCGCCTGATGGACATAGGTTACCTCATGAAGCAGCCCTCTGACCTTGACCCTGCCAAGCACAAGCTGGGGAGGATCATGGGAGCAGTTCTGGAGAAGCTGGAGTCTCGTCTGGGCGCCTCGCTGTACCAGAAACAACGACAGGCCGTGAAGCACCGGCGCCTGCAGGAGTTACAGCAGCGCAGGCGACACTACAGCAGCGAGTGTGAGACGGACAAGGAGAACTCACCTGCAAAACAGGTGTGTGGTGTGTGCATGTTTGTGTGTATATTTGTGTGACTGTGATAGTTTATGTGTGTGCATGTGTTTGCCTGTGTGTGTTTGTGTGTGTGTGTGTCACCATCACGTGTTTGTGCGCATACTGAGTATGTAGAAAGCTACATGTACTGTCAATGTAATAATTCTTTTACTAGTTTTAGCTACAACAGTCTCAACAGATGATGATTACAACAAAAAAAGATACTTTAGTTTTTTCTTGGTTATTTGGCATAACATGCCAACAGCAGTTCGGAATTGAGCATGTGTCACTCAAATGCCATGAAATAGGTGGGTTATGTCAGCTGTTGCTTTTTTTTTTTCAAATTTGCTAATAAGATTTCGTCTTCTCCATACAGAACAAGCCTGTGGTCACCACCAGCAGTACTCCAAGCAAAAGCAGCAAGCCCCTGTCTAAAGACACAGCCAAACCGACTCACTCTGTTAGTGAGTCAAAGCCGACAGTCAAAAGAGCTGGAGAAACACCACTGAACACAAAACAGTTGAAGCTTGTGGGGGTGAGTATCACTCTATGGGCTTGCTGAAGGTTTTTCGTTGCATACCTTTGTGTGGACTAATACAATGTACTATTGCAGTGCTGCATTGTATCTTTTTACATTTTAATAAAGTTAGATTTTGTATTTGCAAACTCATTCAGGGTACTCCGCTTCAAAGAGGTTCAGCGTTTCGAGGCAAAGAAATACCCAGAAGCCCACCTGATGGCCAAACAGACGAGATTCTACAACCCCCCGAGGCCCAGAGTCTTACTCCCAATGTCACAAGGGAGAAGAAACCTCCAGCAGTGATCATGAGGAAGGTACAGGAGCCCAAAGTCACGCCCGAGGGGGAGACATGGAACAGGGCAAACGAGATCTTGAAGAAAGACAGACGGGACAGCGAGACGCCGACCGGAAGGAGGAAAACACGCACACCTCGTAGCGCCCGGAGGGGAACCTACACTTTGAGCTCTGCTCCTCTTGGTGTGGAACCAGAGGCAACCCCAGTAAGCATCCCCCAGGGATCAGAGATACCACGGTCTCCATACGTCCCTGATGCAACTCACTGTTCACATGCAAACCTACAGAGGCCAACGATATCCCCCGAGGATGACAGCAAAGAGAGGGCTGCAAGTAACATGTATACAGGTGTTACGTCAGCCAGAATAGACTCAGAAGTGACATATAACCTGTCCAACAAGGTGAACAAAGACATTGACACAAGTTGTGCTGACACAGAGGGTCAACAGGAGAAGAGGAGGAGTCTAGAAGATGAGAAGTGGAGAAAGCTGGTGGCACAAAGTCCCCCAGTACAGGGAAGCAGGGGCCAGAGGGACTCTGTGGTGATACGGTTAGAGGAAGAACTGGATATGGCTGTTGACTGTAAAGAGGACAACAGGTAAGGAAACAGGTGTAATACCATGAAGACTCTGATGTCAACTACAGTGATGTGATGTTGGTGATATGAAAGAAAAAAGGCTTATGTGTGGCAGTGTTTCATGATTTGAATAGATGTGAAGTTATACTAGTAATATACTTGCTTATAGTACTATATACTGATATCATTTGTCACCTTTTGTAGATACCCTCCTGGAGTTCCTGGTTTTCCTTCTGCTGGTACGTCACTACATCCATCTATAAGACTGGAAGAATCAGGTCAGTTCAACTACTAGTATGTTAAACATGTTATGAAAAATGCAACATTACACACACTATTCATTTACCTCAACAGATGATTGTTATTTTGAACTGCATCAGCTAAGCAATCTCTGTTGGTTTTAGTTAAAATCATCATGCCTTTTTTTCTGCAAGCAGCTATGGTTTACGTGGAGGGTCTGTTAGGTGGATAAGTTACTGATCATAATTTGTATGATTTGATATTCCAGAGAGAACGGTTGCCTGGGGACCCAAGGTGCAGCATACTGCAGACATCCAGACAGAAGCTGAAGACAAGGAGAACTCTCAAGCTCAGGCAAATGTACCCAAGAGAAGGAACCTGCAGGTGTGGGGAAACACTTTACATCATTGGTCAAAGTAGACAAATCGTTGTAAATTTTTATCCCAAGTGTCCATTGAAAATCACCAAGGTGGTCTCCTGGCTAGATAAAGAATAGATGAAGTGAAATAGTAAAAAACACGTAATTGCTGTTCAAGATGAAAGGTGCAACCACATTTTTTAACCTTTTAACACACTGAAGTAGCCATTTGGCTACCTATTCTCTTTTGTTTACTGGGCTAGACAGCAGTTGTTTTTTAATCAGTTAGATTTACCCATAAGTATAACTTAAACTATAAGTCAACTTCTAATGCATTCTTCCACTTTCTTGTTGGTCCCAGGAGGAAATGATATCCTTCAGTGGGTTCAAGTCTCTGGCTGAGAGGAACAGATGCACACCTATGAGGAAAACCAAACCAGACATGCAGCCACCATCAGTAAGCTGACCTGTTTTTATTTAAAAAAAAACATTTACATTAATGGACCTTTGCTATATATTGCTATACATTGAATGTTTGAGTACTAGCTTTATAGGGCTTCAAACATTTACAAGGCCTCAAATATTTGTAAATAATGCATAATTGTATACATGTGTACACAGTTTGAAGTTTGGAGAATGGCCTGGGAATAAAATACATTGAGAAGAATTTTTCTCAAAGCTTGTACATGTATTAAACTTCTTGCCCTGTTTGATTATTTTCACTAGTCTGTCAGTAAGCCCAAGCCCAACTTAACGACAGCTGACCTGCCTTCCATGCTGGCAAAGATGACCATAACAGCAACCCCCAGGACAAAACAGCTCAATGCCGCCGGCCTTCCAAGCTTCGCTGCAGCCACCCCCATCGGCAAGCAGCAGTTGTCTTTTGGAACGCCAAGTTTGAGGGCTACTCCTATGGCTAAAGCTACTCCACTGGCTAAAGCTACTCCACTGGCTAAAGCCACTCCACTGGCAAGAGCCACACCCCTGGCTAAGGCTACTCCTCTAGGGCTCAGTAGACAACGTGGTACATCTGCTGAGAACACCATCACTAACTTTGGCTCGGCCCTCAGAGGAAATGCTTGTGAGAATAGAGCTTCAAACAGGTGAGAAAATAACTTGTTTTTCTGTGTCCTTGGAATTTTTTTGGGTTAACTTATAGGGCAAATAAACAGTTGTTCTTTTGAACCTTTTTGCTTGTTTTTGTATGTTTAAGAGTTGTTTGTTTTTGTATGTTTAAGAGTTGTTCTGTGTTGTGACAGGGAGAAGGAAAGACCTACAAGGGGCCCTTTCATCAAGCAGTCGCTGTTTCCATCATCAGAGGTAAAGCAGAATATTATTTATACCAGTGTATTGAGGGAGAAAAACAAGCACAATCAATTTAAACAAACGTAGAAAACAGCAGTAGTACCTGATTGTGGGACTTGACACTCTACTGACTGTGAATATTGGTCCACAGGAATAAAGTGAGTCATCCCAAAAGCTGATTCCTGTCAAAAGCAACATTTTTTCTCAATGATGATACAGATGTAGATTCCTACCCTCAACCTGTCTGTGTCTCAGATCCCCTCTGGCTTTACATTGATTGGTGCATACATAAGGTGTTTAGTGCAGGGTAAAACACATCTGTCATCCAGCAAAAACAACTAGGGTACCCTCACTACCCTCAAAATAACCCCTCTCCCAATCAAAGCATATTTCATCTTAGAACATATCATTTTACAAATTGTAGGGATGATCCTAATGAGATTGGGTCAGGAGGGGTGATTGTGGGGAAGAGGAAGGGAAGTGTGAAGGTATGACGGGTTGGAATTTCTGGTAAATTCCAGGGAAGTTTGGCACAACTTGGGTGACCTGTCTGACTTCTTGTCAAAACAAACCCTGTGTTGTCTGGTCGGAGCCATCTGGAGTCATGGTCACAAATTACTTCTCAGCTGACTCTTCTGTGCTGCCAGGGTTATTTTGACATCACCACCCTGCAGCTATTTTGTACAGCAAGGATTGTGGATGTCTGTTAAGTCATTGGAGTGTGTTGTACTAAAATGTAACTTTTTGTGTGGAGATCTGAGTGTTAACTGCAAGTTTTGTACTGTTACAAAAATCAGGTGGTTTCCCTCAATGTCAATTGTTTGCCTTTAAGTAGTTTTTACATGTACTGAGATATCTGTTTCATATTGAAAAATCTTTTTTGTTATATGTGACATAATGTCTGTTTTGTACCTGAAATCTAGCCAAAAGAAATAATAAGTGGGGTGTTTCAGTCAGTGTGATGTACTTCCTGCCTTCCCATTTGCCCAAATATGGGCAGGAATCCTGGGCATGCCAAATAAGGTCATGAGTCAGGTTCAGGTTTGGCAGTAGACATGTCAATTTACCAAGTGATATGCTGGGATATGCCGTCATGGGTTTAGGAATTCTAATCTATTGTTTTTCTGGAAAGTGATTCGTTTGGATTGGAGCCATAAAACTTTTCTCACGCTTTTATATTCTAATCTTTTGGCAATTGCAAATTTTCTAACTCACTGATTTTTCAGTGATTGTTCACTCCAATTATTAAAACATTTTTCTCAGCAAATATCCACAATCAAACCACCTATATCTCATAAAAGTTCTGTAGCTGTAAACAATGTTTATTAGGTTCTGGACGAATTTGACAGAACACCGTAAGTTTCCATGTCAAGCTCAAAGCCTTTACATCAGATTCACATCCAGCCCTATACTTTAAAGCTGTCACATACAGCTTATGTCATCGTGCCCTCTACAACATGCATGGCGACACTTCTCACAACCTTTGCTCCTTTAATCGTACCTTACGGACCCGCCCGGACAGGTAATTAACAGTGCGTGTGTCTGGGTTTGTTGTAGAATGAAGCTCAGCTGTCCACCACCTCGGGGAAGGACAGACCCAGTGCTGCCATCACGTCTCTCTCTCGGGACCTCAAGTTCTGTCATCTCAAGAAACGGGTGGAGCTCCAGAGAAGACACGAGGCCATCTTGAAGAAGTTTGACCTCTGAACCTTCAGGTTCTCAACATGTATAGCACATAGTCGCCCAACATAGTCGTTTGTAATGTCTCTTATTTCATACTGGTGACCAAAAAGGCATGTTGGGTTTATAAACAGTACTGGTAGGAATTCTCTAGAACTTGTGTAAAAAATCTTACCTGTATATGATCCCCTATAATCTGAAGTGTCATCTTTTATGTTGACCAATTGAGACTTTGCTATATAGATATAAATATGCACATATGTTTTGCCAATAGTAGACCAAAAAGTAAAAGGTACCATTATAGTTTTTGTAATTTCATATACTTTTGGCCACATTGATGTCAGATACTGAATGGAAACTTTTGGCTTGGATCATGCGACTACTTTCCTGTTTTGAAGCTCAAACCCTTGTTGGATCTGTGCCACTTTCAATAAGGAGCTCATTCTTACCTGCCAAGATGCTCTAAAGATAATCTTAGTTGAAGCCCGTGCACAAGTGAAGTGGCTTAATAAGCAAAATACCACAAACCAAGAAATAGTCTGATGTTCTAAGCACAATTGTCAGTGACTGTAGCTCAAACGCCAGTGATCAGAGGCATTCTTCTGTCTAGTGGTGTAGAAAGCATGCAGACATATAAACAGATGTTTCCAGGCCACCAGACTATGTCACTCTTATACGTACAGTCGAAACTACTGAAACTAGAGGTCTTTGTCGAGGAATTAGTAATCCACTGCTTCTGTGACATACTTTGTGTTGGAAATTATGGTTCCACCTTGCTCCAGAACGACACAAATGAAGCTTTCAAGCTATGAAAATTGAACATACATGTAGAACTTGTGTAGATGTAGATCTTTGACTCTGTAGTATTGCAAACAATAGTCATGTACATCAAATAGTGGATATGTATGTATCGATATGGATGTAACTTTATTGAATTTCTACGTGTAGCTGTAGTTTGTCATTGTTTGCTTTATTGTAATGTGAAATGTTTGATCATTATCGATGAATACAGAAATTGTTTTGAATAATAAACCAAAAGAGGTTTCTTAGCCTGTTTTGTGAAAACAAAGTTGTATGTATGTTTGTATTATGTATGATTATCTATAAGATGTCATATTGTTTAGAATCTTTATAGTGTGAACTTGTTTGTACAAGTGACCACCTCTACATTAGGACCACCTGCCCAATGCAACCACTCTACTTTTTCCCATTGACACAAGCATAAACAATCCAGCCAATAGTGTCCACCTGTCCATGTAGACCAGATTTTATTGAGTAGTTTTCTTGGGTGGTTTTGACTATGCCTCTAACAGTCTTGGTCAAACCTTCCTCAAGTGACCGGGCAAGACAAAGGTCATGTCTTCCAAGGAATTCTCCACATCTTGCCAAGACATTCCTTAGCACGTCATGCCTCAAGGAGTGACTACCCTTGGCAAATACAGGCATTCCTTCCTCCATGGACCATTGCCAGACCTACTACCCTGTACCCTACATGGTGATGTTTGTGCTAAGTTTGGGCAGAGCTGCAAAGTGTGTTCATCTTGTTAATCTCCAAGCAGATGTAGGATCCAGCCCAGTCTGTGTATTTTTTTCAGCATTCTGTGTATTTTGTAGTAGTGTATGAATGATGTCACCCCAAAGCATAAGATTAAGAGACCTGAAGGTAGACTTTTTACTAAAAGAAGTTACTAGTAAATTGAATTTTATTTTATTTGATTGTTTTCTAAGCCAATTTCAACTTCTCCAGAAATGGTATTCAGTAGATTTTAAGTGCTGTTTTCACCAATTCTTTCGGGACTGGCACAGACCAAGAAAGTACTAATGTGCAGTTTGGAAAAATCAATTCAACTATTCCAGCTCGAAATGCTAGTACATTTGTACATTACAATGTATTCATAAATTCTGAGTATACTTCATCCATAGAGTTTCTGTTAAAAGTAGTTAAATTTATTGTCAATACTTTCAATTTCATACTTTTCAGAAATGGTATTCCGTAGATGATTTCAAGTCCTGATTCCCGAAATGCCATCAACATTCAACCAAACACTTCATCTGCAGCATTTCAACTTTGTTCTCCTTCATGTAACTTGTCGTCTCACACCAAAGTTGAGCCCTGACTGGTTGGCAAACTTGTTGCTCCCCATCTGCAGGCTGACCTCTTTCCTGCCCTCCATCAGTTGTTCTTCCGTGAACAGCCGGATGTTTTCCTCTGAAGGCTTCGGTCCAAATATGGGTCCGTAGTAGTCTGGCTTTGTTTGGCACTACATACACATGGTTCACAGGAATGTCAGGATAGCTTAAAAGAATTCTACAGTCAGTAAATAAAATCTTCAACCATCTCCATCTTGCCTGACCCATAACCAATTCAAATTTTGCCAAACGGCCACCTTAGCAGTAGCCTGGATACCATCCTGGTTAGTTTACATCCGCTCCCACAGTCACTGTGGTTGGTGGTAGCGACTGTGGCAGTGGACTTAAACTAACCAGGATGGTACCCAGGCTACCTTAGCAGGCTGAAGGTTAAAAGAATTACAGTCAGTAAATGATACACACACAGTCAGTATATGGGTAGAATGGATTTATTGTTATGTTTAGTGATGAACAGCTTCTGATCTATGTTCCCTGTAAAGGACAAGATTACTCAGTTCCTCAGTATCTAATGACAGCCTTTTGCTTTGCATACTCAAAGTACAAAATGTAAGCTTCATATCAGTGCATTGTTCAGCAACAAAGAAAATTCAGGATTCAGGGGTTACAAGTTTGTTCCAAAGCACCCATGAAGAACATTAACATGTTCCACAGCATAAGCCGTCTTAGTTCAATGTTATGAAAACATATGCTTCAAATGCATCATTCAGTGGCAAAGGCATGCCTTCTATACAGTTAGTTCTTTACGACCTTAAGAAAAATGATCTAGATCTTGAGGATATGTCTGGTTCTGGCAAGCAAGTGTACTTTTAACAAAATCCTCACATACTGATAGTGTTATACAGTAAAACAAGTTTTAAACCTAGTCTTATACATTATTGGAATGGGCAATCAGATAGTTCTCTAACAAACATGAAACTCAAAAATCAAATTAAAGCTTAACCATCAACTTTTGATTCTTCTATACTGAATGGACAGCAAGTACAGTTATGGTTTCCTTTGCATTCCAGGTGAGTTAGCGCTTGTGTCATTCCTGGTTAGTTTACATGTGCCGAGTGAGTCCGAAGTTCTGGCCAGCTTGCGTTGCGCCCTTGTTACTGCCGTACTGGAGACTGATCACAGCTTCTCCCTGTCTCAGCTGTTCCTCCGAGAACTCACGCTCGTTCCTGGCCGCTTGCCTGGGCCCGATGATGGGTCCATCGTACCCCGGTTTAGTCTGGGCCTGGAGGTGTTAGGATTTCATGCAAGCATGGTTATATCTCAGCACTCAACCTGTTTTAGAAATATTAATTGTTTTCAAATCTTATTCATCATGATCAATTAGATATGAAAAAGCATTGGAAGTTACTTTTTGGTATAAAGTGGTTACAATATGATCATCAAGTATTACTATCATGTCATTCTACAAGCAGATATATGTTTTCCTGTTTGTTTATTGTGTATCTTACAAATGGTTATCTCCAAGCAGATCCTAGGGTGGCAAAAGACAGTTTCAAATTGGCCAGGCAATATCCATTGGCCAGATAGGGTCCATACCTCCTTGGTTGGCGTATGGACCCTCTCTCTCTTTTGCCACCCTAGGATCTGCTTGGAGATTAACAATGGTGCATTTTCACTGGATATTGAGTGCTGTAAGACATAAAAAAGAACTTGTAAAAGCTACATTAAGGCCGTAGTGTTGGTTGAAATCTGATGTCATAACTTACCACACGACCCATTGCGAAGAAACACTGTGTGACCGCGGGGATGTTTCGCCTCTCGTACAGGTCCACGGTCTGGAACAGGTCCGAGGCAGGCACACCGTAACCCTGGACAGCCGTCAGGAAGTTCCCTATGTTCTCCATCTGTAACAAGCACACATGATTAAAAATTTTCACATCTCTGTGAACTTGTGAATTCCTTGTTTTATCAGAGTCATTGTGAATTTTTCACTGATTCAGCTGCCTGACATTCAATACTTCAATTCCTCAAATTTACCAGTCACTTCCTCCCAGCCGACAGGGAGACAATTTTGTTCAATTCGACCTTCCTGTCAGTCTACAGGTACACCATATCCCCATCAGTTTCTGAGACTACACTGTATTCAAATACATATAGCTATGGACATACAAGTAAACAAACATATTGAAATGGAAACCTTTGTACTCTGTTTCTCTCTCTTTGTTATATATTTGGCTGCAACATTATCAGACATGTATAATTATCCAAAGACTAACCAAGGGACAGTTCATGTGATGTGTATTTTGGACAGGACACAGACCTGTTTGAAAGGCATCTTCTGTGCATTGATCCTCTTGACTGAGCCAGGAACCAGCACATTGATGAGCCTATAGAGCAAACACAGCTTTGTTAGAACAATGACGTTACATCTTGTTGAAGCTCCTCAGTGGTTAGAACCATGCCAGATGGTCTAAGGTACTTCACATTTCACGGAATGTTGACAGATCTCCTTCTTCTTCTTAGTTCCTCTAACAACCCCGTAAGGGGTATCGCTGAGGGGGGGGGGGGAGGTGCGCGGACCTCATGGCAGGGAGGCCCGAAAGGCCTCCACAGATTGTGCCTGTATGGCCTGGGCAGGTAAACTGTTCCACTCTCGTATCGAGCGTGGGAAAAATGAGAATTTGAAACAGTCTTTCGTTGCAGGAATAATATTGTATTTAAAGGCGTGGCTACCTCTGGTGCGCCGCTGTGCAGGAATAAGATATTGTTCTGAGGGTATGCGCATGTGACCGTGAGTTATTTTGAACATTGTAGTCAGCCGTGCCTCTCTTCTTCTGTTGGCGAGAGTGGGCCATTGGAGATCTTTTTCAACCTAACACTCTTCTTCTTGTACTACGATGTACTCATGGTTTTATACATTATGTACATGTTGTATTCCCTTCTAGTTCTTCTGATATTAAATCCGCGAAGCTGAACTTACTTGCACAGGATGACCCCGTCCTTCAGGGCGTCCTCATAAGCCACGCCCTCCGGAAACTTCTCACCAATCAGCTCTTCGATCCAGGCCTGGGCCTCCGCCTCTTTCTGGGGGTCCCTCTTCCCCGCAATCTGGGAAGGGGTGGAAGGGATCGCTCGGTTAAAAAACTGGCACTAACATGGCTTGTACGTGTATATTTACTAGTAGATTGTAAAATGACCATACAAGACAGCTCTCAGTAACGTTGCTTTCAATCACAGATCGTTTAGGTTACTACACTAGACCGACTCTACAACAAAAACGACTCATTGCTTTGTATAATTTCTTCGTGCCTCTTCATCTTCTCAACTTCCCGTGCCCATGTATATGCTTTGTTTTCAAGGCTTTGGCAGTTTCTGAAAATAGAGATATATTGTACATGTAGTTGCGAAGTTTGCTAGATCAACATTCCTGCGATGGGAAGCATTGAGGCAGATTTCACTTCACTTCCGACTGCGGAATTTGAAAATGCCATGTTTGCTATTAAAAAATTCAGTCTCGAGTAGCTATTGTAATTCACTAAGATGCTATCTCCATATTGTTTCCGTTATACAATTACAGCCAAGACGTCTGGAGAAAGAATTGAAACCTACTAACCCTTTGAACAGGAAACATGTGCTAACATGTTTTCTTGTCGATTTGAATTAAAATTCCAGACCCACCAAATGTTACAAATGCTATCAAATATCTTCTCCCAAACGTTAGCGCACATTATTGCATCCAATTCTACCCTTGTAGTTTCAACCACCACTGTGTAATCTGTGACAACTCTTTTAACAGTACATTCCATACGATGTGCGTCACATGGCAGGTTTAAGTTCAGGTTCAAAGTGTCAGTCAGCATTAGAAATACGAGCAAAGTTGAGAGACATTTTCCGTTACGTACTCAAAGGCGAGGGACGTTCCAAATATAGTAGCACAGGAAGTAAAGATAACAACTTCCAGAATACTGAAGGTTAATTGTAGACGCTGAAACAGTTTTATAGTTTTTACTGCATCGTGTATAGCAATAGATAAACAAGATGGCATTTTATGGGTAAACTTTTCAACAGCTTATCAATCACTCGGAGGATTGATTTTAATGATACGTGTAATTTTGCAGCTCTGTTTAGGGATAAGTTATCACAGATCCACGTAAGTACAAGATAAGCCGAGCTGCCGGGAAACCAAATATTTACACGGCGTAGCAGTCCGGGGGAGTCGGGATCACAGATAACACGGTCAGATGTTGTAAACATGCAGCAGTCATAGCAGCCAAGACTGATGGCTTCATTATAGCGCTTGAAGTAAGGCAGAGGAGTTGGTAGGGTTCAGGATTATGTCATTAGCAAGGACACTCTTTGGCCTCAGACACCGTGCGAAAATAATAAACTATCTTACTACTGGATTCTATTTCTTTTGAAAGAAAAGACGGGAATTTCAATGACTTGTTAGATTATTTGAAACATTTAAATTTTCAATTACCGGCCGAATGTAGACTCATCTTTGCAAAGAAACTCCTGAGGATGTCTGTACTTAAAAAAACGTTTAGAACTCCAGCAAACCTTTCCGTGGTACACAAAGAGAGCTTGGAACATTTGAAACATTTTTGAGAATAGTAGGACAAACTTAAAGATGCTAGTATCCTACACAGAGGAACGTAACGTTACGCATTCAAGATTGCTTTGCCTGCTAAAGAAATGTTTGTTCAACTTGTATGTCTTCTATTACATACCATATTTCCTACAACAATCACTGAAAGGTTTGTTACCAAATAGTAGCAGACTAGTTTGGCTTCTGTCCAAATATGATCCAAGGCATTTGGACAGGTCGGGACAAACAGATCGGTGTGTTCTAGCCCTGACCAGTTGTGTGGTCTCACTCACTACCCTGTCATTGGCCTGACGTTTCCTTCTGTTCTCGCGACAGTTATTTAAAGATCAGCTGACACACCGAGAGTAATCGAAAACAGGTTACCGTACGTTCAAGCACGCAAAGCGTTGGCCTTGGTCCCAGTTGTCGGGTTGGATACTTTCAGAGACCGGTCGGAGCTCTCCCAAACTGCAGTTTCTTACCTTTGCGGCAATGGTGGCGTTCAATCCTGACGGTCTAGCACGGAAGGACATCGTTGGATCCACCTGTCACTGGCTCAAGTCCCACCCCGCGACAAGCCTTCTCTTAGCATCAATCCTGAGCTCTATACCGGTACAATTACATAAAACACCGGCACGGCTGCCCCTCCGCGAGTTAACCCGAGACACTAGTAATGTATACACCTTCAGGTAGAGTTGCAAAGGTTCGCGCTTATTGGTTGGCGCGGGGACACATGTACGTCAGAGGACATACCACAGACTGAGCCCGAATTTCCGTCTCCTTAGCTCGCGGTACCTAGTCTTACTCTCAGGGGAACGCACCTTTCTAACCCGCACCGGTAAGAATCTCACTTTTCCGTTAAGCACAACACTAGGCGATTGTTATCAGCTCAGCTCAAAGTTCTACATACACCGACATGGTGGTTTTATTTGGGTTGTTGCGACTGTAAGCTATACAGCTACATCGTAGAAATGGGCCATCAATCAAGCAGCACAGGTTTAGATCGTCTTGCTACTTTCTACAAGTCGTCAAGGAAAATTGACACTGACGTAAACATCAACACAGACGCGTCAGATTTGGATCACAAGTCAAGGAAGAAAAAAAAGTTAACGCCCTGACGGAGTGAGGCACCTTAGCAAAGAAGTACATCAAAGAAACAATGATAGTCACACACCTTTTGAGCAACCTTAGCGCTCAGTCCGTACGTCGGTCCTTGGTTCATCTTTTTCGTTAGGGAAGAATTCCGGCGATGGCTTTAAGAAGAAAGACGGCTTAGCTGTGTAAGTGCGCGGTGGCGTCTTCTACTGCAGTGGAGTAAGTCCGCAAAGGCTGCAAATGATCCGCCTTTTATGGCTCCTCCCTTTCTGCCAATATCGTCTTTGCACACGACATGGTCCAAGTGTGCTCAAGTCGAGAAACTTTTAAGAAACGGTCGCGCCATTGGTCGAGACCCCACAGGCTGGACTTATAAGTCGAAGGAGGGGAGGGGAGAGATCTTAAGTGTAAATACGCATTCCGCAAGTGACGTCTTGGAAGACGTGCGAACATCCGCTGTTTCGTGACGTCACAGGTTGTCGCCAGACCGCGGGACGTGTTGGAGAGAGAAGTCAGATGCTGCGGACTGGAACATTCCACCGACAGACACGCGTTTATTTGAACATCACACGTGCCTATATACATGTACCGTGGTCTGGTCTGGGGAGGCACCGATCACGGAAATTCGCGGGATGGAAGTCTCTAGAAAGCCCCCAAAAAATGGGAAAATGATGTTCATAGTGTTTGGGCTAAAAAATAAACTTAATCTTGATTCGCAACGGTGCAAAATTAGAGTTGAACGAATTTTAAGTCATGTGGTATGGGGAGGCATCGATCACGGAAATTCGGGTGATGGAAGTCTCTAGAAAGCCAAAAAATGGGGAAATGATGTTCATAGTGTTTGGGCTGAAAAATAAACTTAATCTTGATTCGCAACGGTGCAAAATTAGAGTTGAACGCATTTTAAGTCATGTGGTATGGGGAGGCATCGATCACGGAAAGTCGGGGGATGGAAGTCTCTAGAAAGCCGCCTCAAAGAGTCACAAACTGGAGAAGGTCGTCAATCATGGTGTTTGGGCTGAAAAGTTAACTTAATCTGGATTGAGCAACGGCAAACATATTTCATGGGAGGGTTCTTAGAGTTGAATGAATTTTTTTGTCATTACAAGTTTTTGTGTTAAACTTTAATGTAGACTTCTTTTCCAAGCCTTAGACGAAAAATAGATAGGCTTTTGATATTTGAAAAAAAAGAAGTGACATCTATTCTGAATTTAAGGAATAGGTTATGGCTTTTATAAAATTTCAGAAGCGACTATTTCTTTACACTAGACATGACTAAATCAAACGTTGAGCTTCTTTCAAGGCCTGAATTCTCCATCTCCAATGAGACAAAACAAGTCTGATTCTAACTTAGATTTGGCACAGACCTTAAATATCACGTCTTGTCTTTTCTTGTCAAAATATGAAGGTCAAATGTAAAAATATCAACTTGAAGACTACTGGTATTTGCTACGTGCCCATCCCTTCCGACCAACCCTCTTGTGACTTTGGCTGAAGGAGTAAAAACCACTTAACATTCCCGAGGCTTGCAAAGAAGATTACGCCGAGTGAAAGGTCATTTTCACGGTACACTTCTAAAACCGTACTCACAGAGCCGCCGTTTGTTGTCCTTTGCCGTAAATCTAGGCTGATCTTATTGAGTTATAGACAGAGGTTTTCGAGACTGGAAATGAGTTGCTGAGAAATGTTACTGTCTTCCTCATCACAAAATTGGATATTAAAAAATTGCTTTGATGATAGTCTTAGCTATAGAATTAGAGTTTTCTCATCTCCTATACATGTATTCCTTCACATACAAGAAGCCAAGTTTTCTGCCGTTCATTTCAAATGATAGCCTGAGTACCCGGATGGTATCCAGGCTATTGAGAGTATCAGTCAAAAGGAAAACCACTGCCAGGCGGAACCTAGCTTTTCACACCTTCAAACTAAAACCAGCGATTCCACAGGTAGAAAGTGGATCCAAAGGGTTGATCACGGTGACCATATATGGTAGCGTGTAGCTGGCTTGTGGTGTTTGTACCTCAACCTTTCACGGATGAGTTCAGTGTTAGCCGCTTGCGTAAGTTCTGAGTAAGACCAGAAGCACGAAGGTATACTAGTACGTATTCAGCGGAAAAAGAGCTTGTCTGTAAATGGTCAAATTCTGTTCTGAAGCAGTAATTGTGCCATATCAAATAGAGGGAACGTTTAGAGTGCAATCCGAAGTGTTTGCAGAGTTTCTGGATTATTCCCTACAATACTCATGATACACGTAGTGCCAGCATCATCAAGTCCCCGCTGACTCGAACTCGAATCCAACACCCTCTTTCGGTGTTGAATGGAACTACAGACGTACAGACGTATGTTGTAGCTACAGACGTAAATGTTGAAGCTTGCTAAATTACCCCTCACCCTCGAGTACGTATAGTTTCAGCACTGAACTCAACACAGAGGCAAAGAGTGGCTAACTGAAACTGTGGACTGTTCAATCCATGACAACGATAGAATGCCCTTTGTGCAACGAAACCCAGAAAAGCCCGCGTCTACTTTTTATCAAATTAAACATTATCTAAAAGCATGATTCATCGATGAGTGTTGAGCTAACTTTGTTTGTATCAAAACAAAATCCTTGCCAATCGACACTGGAAACCCGGAGTGCATGTATGCGTGTTGTTTTGAGTCACAAAATCTGCGATGCGAACAGATTGCACATATTATAGACTAATCCGGGTTGAACAAAAACACGCCGCTTTCGACTATAGTTTGGGGTAAACAGAATAAACAGATCTAGAAACACTGCAACGCATAAACCAATATTTAAATGTAGAGCTGTACTTCATTTTCAATTTTGGAAAGGCATACTCACAAGTCGTCTATCTTATAAACAGGGTTTCTAAACCAACCAAGAAACTACTACTACAACTAAACCAAATGCAGTGAAAAGAAAACCTATACTACGTACGTAAAGGTAATCCGGGTGCTTACCTTTTCAAAGTACGCCCGGGTAACTCTCACGTGATCGACGTCCAGAGCAATAATGAAAATGAAAGTTGTTTCTACTGTTACACAAAAAAAGTCCAGCTCAGTTCAGATTATTTTGGTACACTCACTCGACCAGTTTTCCCAACACCCAAAACACAATAATGTCAATGGACCTTTTCAGGTAGATAGAAACACCGTAGTGTTATACGAGTATGAACACCTAGCATGGCGTTTAAATACCGAGATGCGGCTTTTTTTGTCAATCAGACGTATTTCACCTGGCTTTGAACAAGCACGGCCCATTCATACACCGACAACAGGTAAGAAGGTCTTGAATTACAATTTCTCAAACACGATTTTAAGTTTGCAGTGTCGAACAAACTAGCCTTGGTGTTAACCGAGAGCGAAGACTACAGAGAAATGACATCGATGTATAAAAATTACTATAGATAATATTAATAATTTCTATCGTGCTTTCTGTGGTTAAGATTACGTTCGATTGTCCAGATCTAGAGCAGCGACTAAGATTCTTCACAGTCGTTGTAGCAAGTGCAGACTTTTGTGTTGAAAGTATATAGCGTTAAGTGCTTTGTGTATTTGTGTGCTATACTAATTTTAATCGAAAAGTTTAATGTCCGATGCACGCAGTTACTTGTTACATTTTACTTACCTTGCGCCCTCCTCTTAATTATAATGAAATAAAGGGCTGGCCTAGGTGCACTTCAACGAGTCATCTTGTATATATTTGTATATTGAAATAAAGATGATTTTAACCCGGCGACTCCGTAGCAGGCTTATAGAACTGGGGGTTTGGTGGTCTTCGGCGGTTTTCTGATTAGCCCAGTTCTAAATGGGGGTAATTCAACCAGGCCGGCTACGTTGTCCATATGCAATCAGAAAATAGCGCATAAAATCTCCCAAAGACCATGACCCCCCCCCCAAACCCTCAGTTTTTGGCATGCTATGGAGGCTACCATACTATTTCGTTTTAAAGAATGAAAATGAATTAGCAATACTAAGTTACTAAACATTGGCTCATGATTTCAAATCACATATATAAGAGGGCAGGTGTGCGTCGTGGGCGATTCCTGGAACCAAAAATATGTTTCTGCGAAAAATACAACCCCTTAATTGGTTTATTCCAGTGATGCCGGCATGTTGGTGTGTCCAAAAGTAAGATGGCATTTACATAAACTTCACAGGTTCTCAATGTAACATATTCAAGTGGAAGGAGTCGTGACCATATAAAATATGTTTTCATTTACGTTACGAAGTTGCTATTCTACTCAGTTGACTACATGGAAAACAGTATTAATTGGTAACGTTATTGCGCAACAGCCATACTTTGTACAGGGTACAGGGTACAAAGTATGGCATCTACTAACTTAGGCACGTACATGTCAACTACATTTTCATAATGCTAACCTAACTAATACACAAGTGGGCGACTAGTATGAGATAGGTATCAAGTTACACAATCGTTGGAGGAGTTTCTAATATCCATACAGTCTTTAATATATATCCCTATGTATAGCATGTAGGGGTTGTCACAAGTCAATATGTATTTAAATTTGCTTTTCAAGTTCATCGTGGCAAATGCTGGAAAAGTATATGATAGTCTAGTGTATAGTATATTGCGTATATCAATATATTTAGGACACACAATTAGAAAGTAGAAATTGATAATACACTGAATAATATGCCAGAGGAGCCAGCTGGCCATAGAGCTGTTCAGTGTACTCCTATGGCCGACTCACTCCTCTTGCATATAATACTGTCTTTTTGGCCAGTTGGAATTTCCACCATTTTCCCATTTTCCAGAAACAAATTAGACTCTGATAGAGACTAACTCGAAAGAAAAAAAAACACTGCTTGTTCCTTTAGTCTTGAATGTGCAGTGTCACGGCGACTCGACAAAAATGAAATGCCGTCTTGAAGACATAAATATAATCTGACAAGAATGACAGGAAACGGTGACGTCGCGTGTCCATACGTGCGGAAAGGCATGTTTACTCTTCCAGCCGACCGTAACCCCATTTCTACCGAACTCTACGTCCATAACAATTTATGAATGCCTGATGGAGGATATATAATAATAGCAAGAATAAGAATAAAGGACACATTGACGTCACATGTTATTACGTGCGGAAACACATGTCAGGTTGAAATTTACTAGGAAAATCATACCCGGAAGGACTTACATGTGATCTACCACATTTCCTACCTTTTTCCCGGAGTTACAAACTTTCATGGAAGTTTCGAATCATCTTTCTGCTTGATAAGTAATTTTAATGAGTAAATATTGAAAAATCAAAGTATATAGTATTTGGCCTGCGTAGCAAAAATCTAAAGGCAAAAGTTGCAGGACCGTCTGACATGTGGCTGACGTCACATCCGGAAGTATCACTCCCCGTATTTTTGTTTGCACAACTTGACGATTATTACTCTCCAAGCAGAGGTTAGATCGTCCTACCGGTATTTCTAAAGTAACTTGTAGGTGTTAATGTGCACTTCTCTCAGGTGAAAATGAGTATTGTATTGTCCCCTGTGTTGGTCGCGGCATTAATGTAAGTTGAAAAAAACTTGAGTGTGCCGTCACCACGTCTTGTGATTACATGTTGAAATATAAAAAGAAAAAAATGTCCAAGTGCACGTATTGGAAAGCTTACAATATGACTTCCTTTTTCTTGGAGTGACACAAACTAGTAAAGATGCGTTGTCACTTCGTTTTTCACTATTAAGTTTGTATCATATCAACAGTCAGTTGAAGCCTTAGAAGACGGAAAACCTCAAGGAAAAATACACACCCGAAAAAACATTACGTTTCAAAGACTTATACGCCTATTCCCAGTATTGTGTAAACATCAATATATAATAGAAAGGCGTTGACGTATCCTGTATTGTCTCGTCCGATTATCTGGAAAAAATTCTCTCGTGCGGTTTTTGACCGTCAACAACGCCATTGCTGACGAATCGTTATGCATTGCTTGCCGTAAATAAGTAACGGTACATTCAGAACAATCCTAATGTAAGCACTTAGCGGTACATTTATAACACTTCTAAACGACAGGTGGAAAAGCCCTGGCGTAATTGGTTTAAATTTAGCCTTTGGAACTCACTTTGTTCCCACGACAATCTGTAAATAGCCGTGTTGGGATGGACAGCGCTCCGGAAGTGAAGTGCCGATCGCACGGTGACCAAGCAATTGTACTAACCGGCCACGATTTTTCCAGGAACTTGTGACTCTTGCACTTCAGACGCCTGAATAAAACACGGTGAGCGGTGCGTGCAGTTACACAACTTCACGGGACGCAGCTGGCGCGACAAACTTCAGGTAGGGAATCTTCTCTTGCCATCTTCACTTGCCAAGGCTCGTGTGTCTTAGCCTCCACCAGGCTTCAGAATCGACTAGAAAGAGTAGAATTGTCGGCAAAATACTACTTATAGTCAGATAACGTGCCAGGGGAGTTGGTCCGCTAATGGAGTACAGTTTGCCGATCTGAACTGTACTCTTTTAGCGGACCAACTTCCAAGGCATGTTGCCGACTATTTGGCCAATTTCGTCTCTTTTTTAGTCCCTTTGTTCTGAAGCCAGGTACAGCCTACGTGTGCCTACGTAGTTACAGTTTACGCGAATTTGGATCCAACATATATAAAGTGCATATGTGAACCAAGCACTCGTTGTCAGGGTGTTTTGTGACACCATTCCGTACCGTAATATATGTTAGCTGTTTAATGGTCTGGACCAACTCTACTGTCCAGTATTCTAGTGTAAAACGTTGTTGAAATCGGCTACAGGATAGCCATAATTGGTAGAAGGAATTACGGTCCTTGCCTTGGAGAACAATTCACTCTAGATCTACCGCTGGAAGCGATTCGTAGCCCTCCGCCTGTGGCCCTATTTGACCAATTTCTGATAGAGACAAGCCGTGTATTTCGTAATACGTTTCAACAGAGTGAGACTGTGACAGTTACAGCTGGTGTGCGGCTTCGTAGACGCCTGTGTCCGTTTTATGAAAGTAAAGGCTTATGCGAAAAGGAAAACCTTTAATTTCTGCAGGCCATTTCAGTAACTTAGCTGGGAGTCACCTAGCAATTTTTATATAAAAAAAAGTACTGTACTGTGTACTGCGCCATTTCTGCAAGTCCTGCAACCGGACTATCTTATTTAGTTGAAACTTTAGAATTCTTCAGAAACCCTTCTTGTAGGTTGAAGGCTGTACATTTGTCTTCGTTTCCTTTTGTGTGTAACACATACTATTTTCAATTCTGTAGGCCAATAAATCATATAATTGTTCTTATTACAAGTTTGGTAGCATGAGTGCCATCCTATTTAGTTTACCTGGGCTTCCATGCTCGCTCCAGCAGATTCGTCAAAACAGTTTATTTTTGGCGCCAGTAGTACGGAAATGTACAAGATTTCTTCTAGAGCAGTCATGATGACTTTGCCCAGCTGTTGTTTTCCATACCATTAATCATTTACTCAATTTCGGGCATAGTGCGGGTGCGAGGGTATTACACAAGCAGGGCAGTTTCAGTGTGGTGTACTTTATATGTATGTTCACTACGTACCGGTGATAATAATTGAACTTTTATACCTTTTGCGTACCAATCTTTTTGTCCGTCTTTTAGTGGCCTTCCTCATGATTTTTTTATACTCAGAACTCAGAACACTATCGTTTAGAAACAAAACCAAACAAAGAAGTATAGTAAAGGTGAAGATATTGTACAGCACAAAGATCGGACTCAGCAGTCTTCTGGTTTTCTTTAATACAGACTTCGACTGGTGGAAAATGCAATGAGTTCCGACTTTATGTTGGAAATGGTTCAACCCTTTTCGGAAATATACAGACACAGATGCACTTTTGTGCTAAGACTATCTTATCTACCGGATATAACCACGCTTTCCGCACGAGGGAGCAAAACCTAGGATCGAGCATTGCGTCACCGGATATGGAGCCGGGGAATATCCACCCGGAGGTACATGTAGACTTGACTACCCATGGGTGACTACCCACTGATCTTCATCAGATAAAGCGTCAAAGATAAAAGTTGTTTGAGGCGTGCGTGGTTCCTTTGCTACAGATATTTTAAAAGCTGTACGAGGCAATGCGCGTCACCCCCTCCCCCCCAAGAAGAACAGCAATGATAAAAGTGCTGCAGGTGTGGAAGACGCTCTTTCCAAGTAGTCTCTACCAGACTAACTATAGGAGAATATTTGCCAGGGGAGTTTGGTCGCCTTGTGGGTTTGACTGGCCGCGCAGTTAGAAGAAAGAAACTACTAGTATCTCCCCGCGGCCGGACTCGCCCTTGGCCAATTTTACTCTCTTTTTTTGCCAAATTCTACGATCCGTATTCCCGTAGAAAGGCCTGGCGGAGGCTACTTTCCAATGCTGAACTTAACTGTTTGTCATGTGTGATAAGTCCGTGCATACTTTTATATGGTGTAGCTTAGTCCATTTCATCATGGCTTCACGGTGTTGTCAGTTGTACCTCCGCGGTGTTTTAAAATGAATGTCTATCTTTTAATGTTCCTTACAAAGGAGGGATTGTATTCACAGAATGTCCCTGAACGTTCACACTAGGATAGGACAGACAGTAGATGCTGTGGGTAGACATGTTATGCATGCCCCTCAGATGACATGTGGTGTATGATGACGGTACCGGTATGTTCCGGACTTTGTGCAGACTGCCTCGGATGACGCACGATCCCTGGGCGGGAGGGAGCGAACAGGGGTGACATGAGTTCACGTGTCCCGGGCTGACCCATATAGGAACTGAAACTACCAGGCCGGTGTGAACAGAACAATCGGATGCTACAAAAATTGCTGACCGTCGATGTAGCGAAACACATATGAGCCAGTGATTTCTTGTTCTTTTCTGTCGTAGAAGATATGTCTAATTTGTTACCTCTCCGTCTATCAAGTCTATGTAACTTGTGAAGTTTTCGGGAGGTCTACGGTTAGAAAATTGTTGTTTGTTTGTTTGCCCGCAAATCGTCCATTTCGCCAAGGCAACAGGTATACTGAGTGCAGATAAAGCCTTTGTCGCAAGGGGGCGTAACAGCTATCATGTGCCAACTTTTGAACTCAAGGAACTTGACTGTTCCCCACAAAAATGCACAGTGAACTTCAATGAACCAAAGATCCTCTTGACGCCCCGTCGAAAATCCTTGTAATATGTAGTTCAGTTGTACAAGAACGATGTTGTTTGTTGTGTGTATTACCATTTCATTTTGTCTGTTGCAACAACATGTAAAACGGACATCCTATAATGGACATCCTTATACACCGTGAGTTTGACGTCAAGAGCATATCAAGTGTGGCGCAGTCAGTAGGCGTTCCGCCCACACCCAAGAGGTCGCAAGTTCGAACCCTGCCCATGTCACCGATCTTGTGCCCTTGGGAAAGGCACTTTACACTTCACAGTGGTTTCCTCACTTCAATGGTCTCATTTCACTCAGGTGGAAATGAGTACCTAGCTTCGGGTAGGGACGTCCCTCGGATAGGACGTTAAATGGAGCACTGCACGAAATCAGGTATTTAAGCAGTCTTAAAGCATGCTTAAAGGTTCCGTTTTGGCACTCTTTAAGCAAATTTAAGCCAATCTTTACGCGTGCTTAAATGTTACTTTTAAGCTAGCTTTAAGTTTGTGCGTATAGTGCTTAATGGCACTCTTTTAAGCAACATTTAAGCACCGTAAAGTAAGCTTAAATCTCAATATTTACGGTACATTTAAGCGTCTTAAAGTGTCCGTAAATACAGTGATTTAAGCTTGGTTTAAGCTAGCTTAACTTATCCGTAATGTGCTTAATGGCACTCTTTTAAGCAACATTTAAGCACCGTAAAGTTAGCTTAAATCTTAATGTTTACACTACATTTAAGCGTCTTAAAGTGTCCGTAAATACAGTGATTTAAGCTAGCTTAATTTATCCGTAATGTGCTTAATGGCACTCTTTTAAGCAACATTTAAGCACCGTAAAGTTAGCTTAAATCGTAATGTTTACACTACATTTAAGCGTCTTAAAGGATCCTTAAATGTATAGTGATTTAAGCTAGCTTAATTTATCCGTAAAGGTACTTAATGGCACTTATTTAAGCAACTTTTAAGCACTGTAAAGTAAGCTTAAAAATCGTAATGTTTACGCCACATATAAGCATCTTAAAGCATTCTTAAATTCTGTAATATACGACAAATGGTACGCAAATTTTATTCAGCATTCTTTTTACATGTATTCACATATACATATATGACCTCCTTCGGGCAGCATTCACATATAACAGTCAAAAACAAGAAAGCTGGTTAAAGCTCATTTTTAAAAGGTAATGTACTAGGATAATCACACAAACAGGAAGAAAATCAACAAACTTGTTTTAGCCGCAAAAATATTTTGCAATTACGAAAGCTTACCAATTTGTTGAAAACACATTAAAACTGAAAGTCTGTCTGCACAACATTGCTTGTAGATGTTCAAAATTATCAAGGCAATACTACAATAAAAAGCTGTTGTTCTGTCTGCTCATGCTTGTCTAGATCACCAGCCGGTTCATGTGTAAAAGTCCTTCTGATCCGTTTGCTGATAGCCCCCTTCTGTCTGGGAGGCTCCTCGGACACCTGCCGACGGGTGCCCGACTAGCCTCTACCAGGCTTGGGGAGGCGGTCGGAAAGAGTAGAAATCGGCCAAATAGAGAGATAAGCATGCCAAGGGAGTTTGTCTCAACGGAGAACTCCCTTGGCTTGTCCGTTGAGACAAACTCCCTTGGCA